ATATGGTTCCTACTTTTAGGGTTTCATTCACTCGGCAGCGCGCTGTCCCATTTATCAGTACAATCTGCCGACTGGGCTGACGTGTCAGTGACTATTTGCTTCATTGTCTTAATACAATGAGCGGTAATGTGATGTAATAAGAGGACATGCATCCACAGTTATTCTCCAAAATCCAAATGAATGCCAGAGTCTGTTGCTGCAGGGTGTAAGCAGGCAAGGGCAGCAAGTGCCCTAGACAAGCAAAAGCCTGGTCCAAAGGGGACAAAAGATGCATCAAGGCTCATGATTGGTTACATTACACTGATGGTCCCAAAAGGAGTAGACTGCAACCGGTGATGTCGTTACAGACTTACACTGATGGTTGTCAACTGGTAATTTGGTACAGAGGCATCACGTTCTTGTGTTTCAGCTTTCAAGTTTTGAAGTTTGAACCAATGCTACTCTAATTCAGAGCAGAGGTGCTCCTCTGATCATTGTATTCTCCCTTCCAGCAACGTGGCCTGAAAAGCTTACACCTCTTCATGTATGCTACTCATATTTATGTGGGTGTTGGATGTTTATCCAACGGCTTAATACTCCATCCAGTCTATTTTATAAGACATAGTTTAATATGACACAGCTTTCCAAAATACAATTTGACTATTCACTTGTTTCATACTCCCTCCCACCCTCGCCTTGAATAAATCAATTTCCAGAGTTGTCATTAAGTTAATTTTTATAAGTTTGATTAAATTTACAGAAGAGGAGCACCAAGATGTTTTTTTCGTGATCGTGCCTAGGCACGTATTTCATTAAGAGGGGTAGAAACATTACGAGGCAGGTTAGCGGTAACCAATTGGTTACTGAAGTGCCAGCCCAACAACACCAAGATTTATGAAACCAAATTAATATCATTAGATACACCATAAAATATATTAAATATTTATATTTTTTTTTATAATTTAGTCAAACATAAAAAAAATGTTGGACTTAACAATTCGAGAAATTGATTTATTCAGACGGAGTGAGTATTATATATGATTATAAATTTATGATCATTGGACTGATTAACGATTGTACCTTGGAAACCAAAATCGTGGTCTATTTCAAATCCCTCTGGGTATCGCTGACAAGTTGACCCTCGAATGGAGCCGAACTCGAGCTTAGGCAATGATTTCTGAACAATAACCTCTTATGTAAGAATTGGGCAACTTCATGACGGGGGGGATGATCAAAACAATGCATCAGGTTGAATGGTCTGCCAACAGCAAGTCGTCGCGCCGTGGTGTGAAGCAGAGTACCTTGGTGTTCAGAGGATTCAGCAACATGTTACTGTTATCGTTTCTATAGCTGGCATGTTTTTTGCCCGCAGTCTGTAATGCTAGCGGTACATTTTGTCTGAACTTTTCCTTAAGGTCTTTGAGCAGATGTCCTGACTCTAAGCCAGAGTTTCAGGCATCCTGGGTTGCTCAGTTTAGGCGCGGTTCTAGACTCCTTTGTTGCTGTCTGTTCTCTTCCAAACTTTGTATTTCCGTTATGAAAGTAATGGGAATGGAAAGATTTCTCGATTGGAAAAAAAATGTAAGAATTGGGCGCCTTCTGTTTTAGCAACGGCAGGGAAGAGCTCAGAACTCATCAGCAGCAGACTAGCAGAGAGAGATTGCATTACTGTTGTCCTACAGCGGGTGGTTCAGGTTCAGCGCCTGCCCATCGACTGCACTGCCCTACCCTGATCGATCTGCTTAGGCTGCGTTTAGTTCGCGAAATTTGAGAATTTGGCTGCGGTAGCACTTTCGTTTTTATTTGACAATTAGTATTTAATCATGGACTAATTAAGCTCAAAACGTTCGTCTCGCGATTTCCAACCAAACTGTGTAATTAATTTTTTTTTTTGTCTACATTTAATGCTTCATGCATGTATTATAAGATTCGATGTGATACGATGTGATAGCTACTGCAGTACTTTTTGAAAACTAAACACAGCCCAAATGGAAGAGCAATGCAGTGCAGTGCAGGGCCGTGCGGTGTAGCAGCAGGTAAAAGCCGTCACATGAGCACAGCCTGGCATGTCTGTCTCTCCAATCTCCATGTCCATGCATATGGCCCGCTCGCTCAGCTGGTCACCTACCTTCTTTCTCCCCAGCTGCCCTCTCTAAAAACTTGAAGGCTCTATACTTGCTTTGCTTCCCGTGGGTGGCCTCTGCACTAGATGCAGGACGGATGATGAGGGCATTTGAGCGCCGTCTAATCAGAAACTCTTATGCCCCGTTCCCTTGGCTGACATGGGCTGAAAGTATTGATTTACTGTGAGAGAAAAAATACTATTCGTTAACTGAAAAAGTACGGCTTATAAGCCAAGCGAATAGGACGTTAATGCTCAATGAACAGTGAGTCCCTGTCATTTGTTTCAGTTACACGGCCGTTTTTTTTTCAGTTTATTCTCTGTCTGCAATTGTTTCCGTAGAAGTTCTGATAGTAAAGGATAGGACACGGCCTTGGTATATATGGATATGCTGATGGTCCATCCAAGTCACTATTTGATCTTGAACACGGCTGGATTGAGCTGAGTGGATTATTACTTCCTCCTGCTCAATTGCTCATGCTCAGTTCATCACTAGATTCAGATTCCCCTCACATGAACAGATTCTGATTGTACGCCATGCAGTTCAAAGCTGACACAGCCTTTTGAGATGGTGAGCCGCCAACAACGCCCCCAAAGCTGCTGTGCTGGTACCACTCGAGCTCTGCCAATTGCCACCACCAGCTGCTGTTCCCGAGATAATGGGCACGTTTGGATGATCCTTGCCTGTGCTCAGCCAGGTGAGCCTAGCCTCGCCCATCTAAGAGAGCCAATTTAACTAGCTCACTTCAGCAAGGAAAAACTCGCTTGCATGGAAATCGAGACAAAAAAAGGTAAGGAAACCAAGCTAATTCCTTTTTTTCGGCAAGGCAACGTGAGACTTGCCTAGGGAACCAAACGTGCCCAATAATGTCTCTCCAAATTTCCCTCTTCCCAATCTAACATCACTTATCTCTGTGCTGACAGTGGGCTGGTGGTACTCGGAATTCAGAAATGCTGTAACAATCAGGTCAAATTTTGGATGTATCAAATCTCCAAGCAGGATCCCAGCCCAAACCTAGATTCGCCAAATGTCGGGAAAGAACAATGAGAGAATATTCATTTAGGATTGTGAAAACAATCCGAGCACGAATTGGATAGATCCGATATGCTAATCCAACCCGTACATGTACCAGCCTCTCACGGTTGTATGGCACCGGTGGGTAACAGAAACCATAACTCCCCAGCTCGGACCACAGGGAGGAGTGGTACTGGACGCCCATCAACTGCATCCCAATCAGTCCCCAACCACGCCTGGCAACCCTAATCAAGTCTTGCAAGTACTACCGCGGGACGCTGTCATCCCATTTGATGCTTGATGGTAAGCAAAAGCTTCATTGGGAGATGACAATGGTGTAGTTGCCAATGCAGACCAAGGAAAAGCCAGCATCCCTAAAGGCAAACAGCATCCACACATTATGGTGGTCTGTGTGGTGATATCATAGAGTGATGTGGCAATAGTACGTCGCTGATCATGCACTGACCTGTATTTAGCATTTCCATAAATCCGACTTAATATATATTGCTCAGCTTGTTCGGCTGGCCACTTCTGGCTGGCTGGACTTCTTTTTTTCCAGGCGGAGCAGTGTTTTTCTCTCACCAAATTCTAGTTGCTACCGTGTTTTTCAGCTGCTACAGTGACAATTTAATGCCAGCCGAACAAGCTCTCCGAGAAAGCATGGAATTAATAATTTTGCATAACAGTAAATTGTAATACAACGAAATAGTACTAGTACAATGGAATGTGATGTAACTGAGTGCAAGAAGAGCACTTGCAATCCGAGAAAGCAAACGAATTTGCATGTCAGCACAGCAAGTTATTGCAGGGAGACCAGAGAGTGGAAAGTCAGAGACAGTATATCAGTGTACTGCTACAAATTGTTGTACTCATCATTCATCAACCTATAAAAAGGACCAAGAATAGTACTGTACCAAATTTACTGATTGCGAATGAATGCTTACTGTGTATACCATACCAACTTGCTCCATGGTCAGATGAGCAGCCTACATGCCAGCCCTCTGAAAACGATCGAGAGCCCTGGTGCAGAGTAGCACTCAACAGCTCAAGTCAGCATGCATAGCAGGTTGATTCATGACTCATTTCAATTTCGAAAGCTTTGCTATTCGCTTGAACTTATCAGCCATGGTACAGTGTTTTTCTCTCGCAACAAATCAGCGAACGGTATTTTTCAACCTGGCTTTTCAGCGAAGCGAACAGGGCCAAGTGGAGAATCCTTCAGAGAAGGTAAACTAATTGACCTACCAACTAAACCCAGGCTTTAAGGTAAGCAGAAAATGATATAAATTCCCTTTTGAGATGAGTGGGTTAGCATCAACAACTACTACACTGATATTACTATTATACTTCCTAAACAAGTGGCTAATGCTACACCTTTATGTAACACGGTTACATTGTATCTTAGCTTTTCCAGATGTGTTTTTTGCAAAGTCCCAGGCTGACGATAAACAAATGACTAAGTTACTGACCTGATATACATTGCCTCAACGCTCCATATGCTAGAGGTTAAACATAGGACCAGCTCATTGACTGACTAGATTACCATGTCACATAATTTTCTTCTAAATAGCTGAAAAATATCTTCAATCATACACATTTGATTCAAGTTTACTAAGTAACAAACTTGTTTTCAGGTTGCTTCACACAAGGATTCAACATGATCATGTACAGCCAGAGTTAGAATCAGGGTCTTTCCAGTCAACAAAGCTCTATATTTCATCTAACAATAGACAGATCATCTCATGTGCAAAATGCACCAAAAACAAAGTGGAAAAAGAAAAGAGAAACAAGCAAAACCAAATTACAAGTACCCTTTGCTATCTCATATCACTTGTACACTATGGAACAGAGCAGAAAACCTGACCTTGGCAGCTGGGCTTTGCTCTACTGAAGTTGCCACTCCACACAATCATCAAAGTCGAGACTACTAGAGCAGTCAAGCAGCGCATTTTGCTGCTGCTCGTACCGGCAGATGTAATTCAGGCCGACAAGCAATTCGCAGATCACTGCCTCTGTCTTCTCCCGATCAGCAAAATACAGCGTCTGCAGCAGCAGTACATTCCCCTTCAACACGATCTGCTGCTGCTCAAAGTTCCTCTCGGCCTGCCACCGGATCATGTTGTGGGCCATGGGAGCAAGCCATGCCAGCGTCTTCTCGAGCGTCTCCCGCCAATCGTGCGCGAGGAACGCGTCGTAGATCGCCATGCTCTTCACATATGTTTTCAGATTCTTCCTCAGCGCCACCTTCAGACTAGATGGCAGCATCTGGTACAGGTCGTCCCGTGCCTCCTCACCAACAAGATGTGGGTACCGGAGCAGCTTCTCGATGATGATGACAATGTTTGCATAATGCAGTGCGAGAGCCGAGCCGCCAACTGTGGACGGCGGCGCAAGTGAGGTCACCGTGCTCTTGGGACCAAACCGCGTCTTTCTGCCAATCCTGCCACTCTTGGATGATGGCGTTGTCGTTGATACCCCCTGCTCGCTGCTGAATGGCACGAGCATCCCTGATCTGATTGTGCTAATGCAGCTGGAATCCTCCAAGAACTCATCCTCGAACCCATCCTTCCATGACACTGAGCTGCTCAAGCTCAAGCACTCCATGAACATCTTCCCCGGGCTTGCTCCACAACCTGATGACCGGAAATTCACTGGCCGCGAGATCTCTGGATCGACTCTGGAAATCGGCCCTGACTTCTTGTCGCTGAGATTGCTTTGGACGGGACCTGAATTTGCTGCTGCCACCGGACGGGAGAGCCGCCGGCTTTGGTCGCCGCATTGCCCCGACAACTCACTGGGTCGCATGGCCAGCAGGTCGAGCCCCAGCATGGGGTCACCAAAGACGTGGCGAATGCGGTCGTAGATGGTGCAGACGGCGCGCGCGAGCAGGAGCACGGCCCTGTCGTAGGTCCAGTTCCAGAGCGAGGAGTCCCTGAGCCTGCGCACGTCGTGGCGGCGCCACCGCGCGCGCTGCTGGAGCACGCGGCGGGCCTCGTTGGTGGGCAGCTTCCGGGCGGACTGCTCGAGGTCCGCGAGCGCCTGGAGCTCGGCGTAGAGCGCGGCGGTGGCGGCGGCGAGGCGGTCGAGCTTGCGCACGAGCGACGCGGTGTCGGAGGCGGAGGCGACGGTGAACAACGTGCCCGCGGCGGCACCGGAGCGGCCGGAGAGGAGGTCGGCGTAGACGTGGTCGAAGCCCATGAGCGCGGGGACCGTGCAGCGTGCGCGGCCGAGGCGGGATGCGACGTCCGCGACGCGGTTGAGCGCGTCGAGCTTCTCGGCGAGCGCGAGCGCCAGGAGGCGCGCGTCGTCGTCGCCCGGGACGACCACGAGCGCGCGCACGGCGTGGGAGCCGAGGCAGCGCGGGCCCAGCAGGCGCGCCGCCTCGTCGTCGGAGAGCGAGCGGTACAGGTTCGCCGCGCGCGACATGTCGTTGGCCACCTCGAAGGACAGGATGCCCAGCCTGCCGTCGCCCGCCGCCGCCGCCTCGGCGCCGCCCTTGTTGGCGTTGGCGCTCGCCGCTGGCCGCGCCTTCTTGGAGGAGGAGGAGGACGACGACGACAGCGTTGCCATGGAGAGCACCTTGTGCACCAGCGGCTCCGCCACCATGACTCCTCCGTCCAGCCGCGTCGTGGAGCGCTCAAATCAGGAAATCCTTTTTGTTTTGCAGGAAAAAGAAAAAACTTGGCTTTTGCAGCGAAAACGAACTAGGCGAGCAGGCAAGAAGGAAGGGTGTTTGAATTGGAATTGGAACGCTTCGATTTCGTGCGTGACTGGCTAGCTACCGTCGGTCAGCAGCTGCAGCAAGCGGGAGGGAATTAATGGCGGGACAGACCGGCAGAGCACGCAGAGATGTCAACACTCCGAGCCAAGGCAAGGCTGGTACAGGTAGAATGGAAACCCGAAAAAAGAGGACACTTTATCATTTCACCCATCATCGTCGTTAAAAACTGTTTCGTAATTTTACCATTCCGTAAAATAGTTTCGCTCGTTTGTCATTATGAAACTGGTGTAACCCGCTGAAATACATTTTGAGTAGTTTTAATTCGTAGAAAAAAAAAAGAAGACACACCCTTTCCTTTCTACCCCTGCGTTACCATCGTCATCCAAGCGGCCCCTCCTGAGGTGGAGTATCCTAGGTGTCGGTGTTTCGGACCGGGGGTCCTCAACCAACCAGTAAATGTAAACTGCGTGCCCCTAATTCCAGATGGTGGTGCAAAGAGACACAAGGTTTATACTGGTTCAGGCAATCGGCTCCCTACGTCCAGTCTAGGAGATCGATCTTGTATTCTCTGCACCGAAGTGCTTGTAGTAGGGGGTTACAAGCTGGGTGAGAGAGGGAGCTAGTCCTAGGTCTCGGCGTGGTATGGTGCGGGCTGCTTGAGTCGTTGTTCTCAGACAGCGTGGGAGCGCGCATGAATTGAGTGAGTGCGTTTTTGCGTGAGGGCTGGCGTGGTTTCGATCCCTAGAAACGGCCCTGGCTGCTTCCTTTTATAACCACAAGGAGGGAGCCAGGAGTACATGAGAGAGCTACACGTGGAGCCTTAGCGAGGAAGGAAGATCCAATCTTCGTGGCCTATTCTCAGTAGCGACCGGTTGTCGGGAATGGCAATTGGTACTTGATCACCGGCAAATCACGTAAGCCATGCCCGAGGTTTGTTGAAGTCGTAAGAGTCCTTGTTGACGTCTAGTCGGTATGGCCTCCACCGTAGGTGACATGCCGTGGTGCTGGTGGACTCTTGTCCCGGTGGAGTCCGAGGCCTAGCGGGTGCTAGAGTTGATCGTCTTGAGACCTTCTTTGCCGAGGCCCTCGGAGGTGACTCAATAATGCGACACGGGGTCTCGGTGGTCTGTGTCGCACCCGATTTTCGGTGAAAAAGTGCGGAATGGGCGTCCGCAGGAGCCGTAGTCTCTGCACCGTCGGTGGGGATGGTAAAAGGTGATTTGACCGCCGTCCCCATCGCCCTTTTTGCCATACCACGCCAATCGTGGGCGACGTAGGCGTAACTAGGGATACTTACACGGATGGGACGGCCCGCCAGAGGGGCAATTGAGGCGGAGGCGACGAGAATGCGGGATTTGAGCCCGGCCTCGGCCGAGGCGGAGAAGGAAGGGCGCGTCCGAGGCCTTGCCGGGGTCTCTCAGACGAGGCGAGACCGAGCAAACTGGCTCTCCTGCTGCTTACGAGTCTCTGAGGACATGGACTCGACCTTCCATGCCGCTTTGTCCTTGGCGCGAGGGGTTAGGTAGCACAGGCGATATAAGTGACAGGGGAGCACGGTGCAGTGAGTATAGTGGCGGTAACCCCTGCTGTGCCCGGTCCCCGCCCTGGTTATTCTGCCCCTGCTTGTACTGCGTCTGGTAGCGTTCTATGGAGTGGTTGGGTGCATTTAATCCGGACGTGACGTTTTGCCAGGAGTTCGGTCGGGACGGAGATTACGAGTACGTCCGCCGAGCCCGGCCTCGAGCGAATCGGAGAATTGGAGATCCGTTCGAGGCCTTTCGGGGCGAGGCTTTGGCGAGAGGGTCTCGGCGGGACGTTTTAGGCCTGTTTCGCATGAGGCCTCGGCGCAAGGCCTCGGGCGAATCAGAGAATTCTGCCGAGACCTTGCAGTAGTCTTTTGGCTTTGGTTTTAGCAAGGCTTAAGCAATATTCTTGGATCTTGCTTAGGGTACCCCTTCTTGTGGTATCCGACACTAGGCGTCTCCTCGCCTCGTCGACGCTGCGCACGCTGCAGCAGCTCCACCGTGAATCGCGCCACCAAGATTTATCCGTGCTGTGTTGCTCTCTCGCTCCGGCGCCTCGACATACTTCGGGCGTGCCGCTGCTGCGCCCCCCCCACCACATCATCATCAGGACCCACCGCCACCACACGGCAGAACGCTGCGATCACCTCGGCGCCGAGCGTGAGTGAGCCGGGGCAGTTGGCCGTGCCCTCCCCGTCTTCGCGGGAGGCGATGGAGTCGACGTCGTCGGTGAACGCGGAGGCCTCCTCCCACGCGGCGGCCCCGAGCGCCCAAGCCTCGGCCGCCACGTGCTCCAGCTCCGTGGAGTTCCCCAGCCGGCCCCACCGCTTCCGCCGCTCCCCGACGGCCTCCTGCCTCCGGGGAGCAGAAGAAGCTGGCGGAGGGCGAGGAGGGTGCGCCGCTAGGCCACAACCCCTCGGTGGCTATGGAGTGCTTCATCTTCCTCTAGAACTTGAGCTCAGGATCATCCATGTCTTTGTTCCTCTCTCGCTAATCACTGTCTCATGTTACTTGCTCAGTAACCTGTCGGACATTATTGCGCCATCCATCGTCGATGGCGCCACTGCCCATTGCTGCTCACCTACCATGCACCTCTGTTCTTACTTTCCTCGTTCTCAGAGCTAAGACTAGAGAAACTGACAGCCGAGGACGAGGCTGGGAAGGCCCCGAATGCCGTGCCGCTGCGGCTCATACGCCCCGCCAGGTACCCGGCGCCGACGCCATAGACCTCGCTGCCACCGCCGTTGCTCCTTTCATTCTCTCTTCTCACGTCGAGTTGGGGATTGGGATCGGACAGGGTCATAGCGTGAGGGAGAACTCACTGGGAGGCTTCGCTCGCTGGGATTCTTCGCCGGCCGCGGGACCAACGCCGACTGCGCGGCCTTCCCGCGCCACGAGTCAGGTCCGTGGCGGCGCGAGCAGGTCCGCGCCGACCACGAGGGCTTCCCACGGCGCGAGCCTGGTCCGTGATGGCGCGAGCGATCTTTGCGGGGCTGAGCGAATCCGGCAGGATGCCGCGAGCTCCGCCGAGCTAGCTCCGTCGGGCGGGCAGGAGCTCTGGACGCGACCTCCGATGAGGTGTCCACGGTCCACACGTGTGCTACGTCGGGCGTCCGCCGCCGCAGGCTCTCTGCGCCCGTCGCCATGAGGTTCCCCGCGCCCGCCGCCGGCATCCACCACCACACCTGGTGTGGGGAACAGTGACTATCGAATAAGGAGAAAGCATGTAGGGGTAGAAGGGAAAGATGTGTCTTCTTTTTTTTCCATGAATTAAAACTATTCAAAATGTATTTCAGCAGGTTACACCAATTTCATAATGGCAAATGAGCGAAATCATTTTACGGGAGGGTAAAAGTGCGAAACTAGTTTTCGATGATGGGTGAAATACCAAAATATAGAAGAGAGAGAGAGAGAGAGAGAGAGAGAGAGAGGAGCATTTCTCGGGTGTGTGCCAAGCCGCCAAGAGACCCCAAGGTGGAGACGGGAGAGGGAAGAGGAAGAAGAACGAACGAACGACAGCAAGGGGACGAGGAGGAGGAATGAGCGAGACGAAGCTAGCTAGGTGTGAGATTTGGATGTGGGAGGCGACGCCATTGTTGCGCCCCAACTCGTCGCTGGTGTGGTGGCATTAAATTGGAGCGGGAGCAAGGCAACAAAAGCAAGCAGCCGCCGCCTCTGCCGCCCTCACGGCCTCACCTCACCTCGACACCCCAGGAGATGGATGGACTGGTGCAGTGGTTGGCTCTGCTTCTGCGAATCTGCACCCAGCTCGGGCAACTTTCCGCGGTGCGCTTTTCCGTTTCCGTTTCCATTTGCATGTCCACGACGGAGGGAGAGAGTGGGACCCAAAGGTACTGTAGGCTGGGCCATGGAGTACGTGGGACCGAATTGTCAGTGAGGTTAGAGACAATGGGTTGGATCTAGCCTAGTGTCGAAGGAAATTTGTGTTGGACTTTGGAGCAGTTGCGTTTGAAAAGCCGGGTGGACTTTGGAGCAAGTAAACAAACTTACCACAACAGCACGTTTTGCACTTTGATCCTCGTATTTGATAAATTTGGATAATAGAGTTCTTTTTCTTTCTTTCTTACTTTTCCTCCGGAGTCCGAATGCAATCATATTTTCGATGGCCAAGTTGATAAATTTTTTAAAATGTCTACTTTATTTTGTCTTTAATAAACCTACAATCTGTCTGTTCGCTTGTTGGTTTCAGCCAGGGCTTATCAGCCAGCCAACAGTATTTTCCTCTGACAACAAACCAGAACCAGCCAGGCTTATCAGCCCAGAAACCAACCAGCGAACAGGCCGAATAGTTGTGTGTGGTTGTCTCGTTTACATTCTGGGAAACTTTAAGTTAACATTTTTCCTTTCTTTGTTCACTCATGTGACAAATAATCCACACTTTGTTATCTAAAACTTTGAAGTGAACTATTTAAAAACTATAGCTATACATTTCCTCTACATGTTTCATATATAAGTCTAAATGTTTAAAAGTGATGAGGGTAGAATTGTCTTAAAAAATAGTTACATGTAAAAATAGAAAGTTTATTAAAATAGTTGACTTCATAGAAACAGACCCAAACACAAACACCTATTTGTGACTAGAGTGGGTTTTCAAAACAATGTTCTCACTACATTTTAGCACTCATCCATCATCGCCCTGTTCGTTTAGGCTGGTTTGACTTATAAGCCATGGCTGAAAGTACTGTTGACTGGTTTGATGTGAGAGAAAAATATTATTTGTTGACTGATAAACCATGACTTATAAGCCAAATAAGACCAAACAAACATGCTGCATATTTCCCTATCTATTCACCTGCTCGTCTCTGATTCCCTTCTCCCTTCGTGGAATGGAAAAACAATAG